GCACGGATGAAGAGAGGACCTTCCAGTGGAGCGTGTAAGCCAGCAGCCTGGGTACGGAGGGGACGGCAAAGGGCTGGGGAGGGGGGAGGAGCGCCCAGCGGTGAGACTCCTTGCAAAACTCCTCTTTGTCACTGCTTTTCTGATGCTTTCCTCCCCCTCCCAGCTCCCTCTCCCCTCTCTCCCCTTTCCCTTCTCCACTCTCTAGCCTCTTCCCTCCATTTCCCAGTCCCATTGCACCCATTGCACCCTCCTCCTTCCCCGGCTCCCCGGGATGGCTCTGAGCTGGAGCCAGCCCCTGAGGCAGCATCACAGCGATGTCCCCCATCTGCCCCTGCAGGAGAGGTGAACATCACCGTCATCGCCAAGGCCCTGCGCTCTGAGAAGCTCTGCGGCACCGAGATGTCCGTGGTGCCAACCCAAGGGTGCATGGACACCGAGACAAAACTCCTGATGTGCAGAGTGAGGCGGTGGGCTTGCACCGTCCTCTCGCCGGGAGCAGAGCTGCACCCAAAGCAGTCACCCCCCGAGCAGAGCAAAGCATCTCCCCATCCCTTGGCCAGGCTGGATGGTGCCTGCGGGTGCTGCAAGGTGCGGGGAGAGCATCAGCACCCGGAGCAAGGGGAGAGTCTGTGTCCATGCTCTCCATCAGTGGGATGGTGCCTTCCCTTCCCTTTTGGGGCGAGATTGGTAGATTTGAGGCGGCTGGCTGTGTGATGTTCAGTTTGCTCCCCTCGTCACACCGTGCGTAGGGCTGCTCCAAGGACAGCCCGGCTTGGCCTGGGTGGTCCTGAGCTCTTCTGGCCCATCAGAGCCGATGGGCTGCTGGTGGGGATGGGTTCCAGGCAGGGCGTTTGTCGGAGGAGGGGAGGCATTTCTGGGACAGGGAAGGGCAGGCTGGCTCTGATCCTGGTCTCATACATGCTGTATTCCTGGTTTTAAAGCCTCCAAGACCGATGTGAAGGAAAATTGCAGCTGCCTGGTTGTCCCTCTGCTCCTGACCCCGTCGTACCCCACCAGACAGCCACGGTCTCGAGGGCTGGCAGCCTTTTCCCATCCCTTCATCCCCTTCGCCTGACCCGGTAGGAGCCTGAGGCAACGTGGTTGAGACGAGGACTCTGAAACCCAGCAGCCCTGCCATCCCATGGGGGTCAGGGGCTGCCCAGGGAGCCGCCGCTTTGCTGCCCGCCGTGGAATCGTGGTTTCCCTTGAGCTGATGCCAGTGCAGTCCCTCGGAGAGGGGACCAGGGCAGGTGAGCTGACCCTGGGCTGACAAAAAGCCTTGAGAGATCAGTGCAAGCCTGATGGCTGGGCATCGAGAGGATGCTCAGGGCTGCCCTGAGTGCAGCCCCGTCCCTGTCCCCGCTCAGCCAGGCAGAAAAATGAAGAAAAATGCAAGTGGCATAAGGGAAGCGGAAGCAGCAAAATATTTTTCTCGCAAGAAAACTCCCATTCTTCAGGCTCTTTCCCACCATCCCTGACCAAAGCCAGCCCCATGTCCCAAGACACACTTTGTGTTGGGGGCTCAGCGCTCCTGTCTGCCTTAATGATGTGTAAGAGGGGCCGTACCTTCACGTTGCTTTGCTGAATAAAAAGCTGAGACCGAACCAGAGAGAGCATTCATTGCACAGGCAACAAGGCAGCAGAAAAAACAGCACAACGTGGGGTCAGCGGTGTCTGGTCAGGAGGGACTGGGGGACAACGCACTCTGGCTCCTGCTCCGGAGTCACCAGCAGCACCGAATGACAAATCCTCCGTGCAATATTTCCCCTCAGCAGCCCCACAGGCACCGATCGGAGAGGCAGAGGCCCCCCCTGCTCCCAAATCGATCTCCCCTTGGCCACGCTGCTCATGGCCCCCACTGCATCCTGCCCCCGTGCCCTGAAGGACTCGGTGTGCTGATGGCCCCGAGCTCCTCGTCATGTGGAACCGTCCCCGGGATGCCTGTCGGGGCACTGACCCATGCCCACATCCTGGGGCAGCAGGATGGGCTCGGGGCCATGTTCCTGCCTCGTGTCCGTGGGGGTGGCAGGGACCAGCCTCCTCCGGACACCGACACCGAGTGGGGCTGCTCCCGAAGGGCAGGGAGGTGAGCACGGGGCTGTATCCAGTAATAGTGGAGCAGGACAGGCATGGGGACAGCAGCCGTGGTCGTCCGAGAGCCCACGGGAAGAGGTCAGCTGCTTCCCGCAGCACTGCCTCTGCCTCTCCCCACGGCCCCAAAGGGAAGGGGACTGCAAAACCCCGGAGCAGGGGATGTGCTCAGGACACCGTGTGGCTGTTGTGGAGCTGCCTCAATTTTCCTAAATTCCCACCAGGACAGCAAAAGGCAGCTCAGCCCATGCCCTGGCTGGTGTCCGGCTCCCAGGCGCTGTGCACAGAGCAATGAGAGCGGGTGGAGCTGGCATGACAGCCCAACACCATCCTGCTCCTCTAACTGATTGGATGAAATTGGAGGAACCTGGGCAAAAAGACAGCCTGAGACCTGCGATCAGCCCAAATAGCTGCTGTTTGGCTAAATTTGAAATACCTGGAAACAAGCCCTTCTGCGAAATTGCCACCAACTCACAGACTGTTCTCATGATTTGCTGCCTACTTTCATTTGGGGAACTCGTTCCCACTCCCTCCTGCCATCATTTCCCAGCAAACCAGTGTGTGGGTGGACCTTGCCCCCTGGTTTTGAACCTCTATAGCCTATAGGAACCTTTCCTCAAATTGCAAAAATCCGTCAGAGCCTTGAACCCAGGAGGCTGCGGGCAGATGGTAAACATTGCCTTGGTTATATCTGCAGGTCCACGCTGGATCCCTCTGCCAACCCTTGTTTGCTCACCGGATGGAAAGCAAAGATCTCATTTCAGAGCAGACGCAGGTCTACAGCAATCCAACACCTGGAGAAGGAGGCTGTGGCCGGCCCCGACGTCTGCTTGCAGCTGGAGACATGAAGTCTCCAGCTGCCCTGCCCATCCTGCTGCTCCTCATCCCGCACCTCACAGCTAGGACATCTGCAGCACCGTAAGGCCTCTCTGTGTCTGTCTGCCTGTCCGTGCCTGGTGGGAGGGCATTTAGTCTTGGCTCCTTGGCAGAACATAGTGGGAGGTAATCCTTCCCGTGCATGTGATTGTTGGCCAGGGTGGAAATGCTCGGGCTGGTGGGTTGTCTCTGCCCATGAGCTTCGAGGACTTGGCACCCGGGAGCTGCTGGGGCTGGTGGCTCTGGGATGGTTTATTGTAGGTGCTGCCTCACTTGCAGCTGATGTGTGAGCAGAGCTTTTGCTTTGCTGAGCTGAGAAGTCAAGGGGAGCCCAGAAGCAGAGCGGGGAGGCTGGGGGAGGTGGTCCTGCACCCCAGCACAGGTTTCTGTGCACCCAGGAGCTCTTCAAGACCTCCGTGGGGTCTGTACCGGGATGTGCCTCATCCCGATGTCAGCAATTCTCCTTGCCAGGAGTTATGTGGTCACATCCCCAGCTGTGATCTACCACCCCCACGCAGCGATGCTGTGGGTCCATCTCAGTGGCCTCCATGAGCCCGTCCAGGTGACCATCCAGCTGCAGAGAGCAGACAGGACCCATAACATCACCCTGCTGGAAAGGAAGGTCCAGGAGCCTCATCTGTACCTGAACATCACCTTCCCCGTGAGTGTCATCCCACGCACAGCTGTAAGCGTGGAGGGGGATGCCCTGGACACCCCGCTGTCTCCAGGCGGAGCAGTTTCCACCGGCTTCCCTGAGTGTGGGGCTGTGGTCCCACGTGGGGCTGGGAGCAGGCATGACTTCCCCATCTTTTGGTAGGGTCTCATCCCCCACACAGGCAAAACGACTCTAGGCTCAGCCCAGTTATTCGGTGGCTGAAATAATCCCCTGGTACAGACCTGCAGACTAAGGCAGGGTGTTGGGGGGACATTTCTTCCCAGCCCCTGGCTTGGGGAAGGTGTCCCTGTGGGTGAGGAGTGCTCTGGGACACTCGGAGTGAGCAGAGCATCACGGCCGTGGCATATCCCTCGTCCTCACCCGGTGCCTGGTGTTTCCCCTGGCAGGCTCCAGCCCCCGCCAAAGGGAAGGAGGAAATCGTAGACCTGCACATCTCAATCCAGGGAGATTCCCTGGATGTCTCCGAGAAGAAGAAGGTGATGCTGAGAGCCCTGGAGCCTGGGATCTTCATACAGACAGACAAGGCTGTCTACAAGCCTGGGCAGCAAGGTGAGGGGGACAGGATGGACCACCCTGCTCTGGGCTGAAGGACCTGGTGGGAGAGGGGTGCAGGAGGCTCAGCCTTGCTCCTACGCTGCGTGGAAATAGGAGGGCTCATCCTGGGATGCACTGGGACTCCCAGCACTGGCCCAGGGCAATGCCAGGACACGCTGGCAGCGCTGGAGGCTGTGCTGCTTGGGGGGCAGTGCCCCACTGTAGGGCTCAGGGGGGATTTCCATCCACCTTCCCCATGGGGAACCCCCCTCCCTGCGGATGCACCCACCGCTCACTCCTGCATCCCCGTTTGCTCTTTCCAGTGAAGTTTCGAATCGTCTCTTTGGATAAAGACTTCACTCCCAGCAATAAGAAGGTGAGAGCAGGACTGGGGAAGGGGGGAGGTGACAGGGCCCCCCTGCACCGCCCTCCTACAGTCTCAGCAAGCCGTGAGAGAGGTGTGGGAGTCAGCCAGCGCCTTTCCCCTTGGGAATCCTGCCCCAGCCAGCTCTGCCTGGGTGGCTGTGCTCCCCAGGGGCAGGGATGCCCCGTGTTGTTCACGCAGACTTCAGCAGGCTAAGGAAAGAGAAAGCAGAATTGCACGTGTGACACGGGAACGTACCCACCTAAACTTCTGGTTAGGGATGTAGCGATGGTGAGTGGGAAGCAGGGAAAGTGCTATCGATATCCATCAAATCATCAGACGCCAGGATTACAGGCGAGTTCAGTCTCTGGCACCCCCGAGCAATCATCTGGGTCTCTAGAAGTGCAGGAGGTTCCCAGATGAAATGGTTGATGGCTTCTTGCAAAGGCTCTAGGAGATGCCACCTCTCCATGCCACCCTGGCAGTGTCCTCAGCTCATCCCAGCTAAAGCTGCCCACAGGCTCAAAATCAATCCCAAAGCAAATTGAAGGGTTGGAAGTTCACAGCATCCCACAAATAAGCCTCACTCTACTCCACCCACGGCTCCATAGATGTCCCCACCCTGGTGAGACCCCAAGGAAGGCTCTGAATTCCTCCTCTAACCGTCTCCTCTTTGCCTTGCAGCTGCCCCTTGTGTTCCTGAAGGTCAGTCTGAGAGATGGAGGGAAGCTCCTGGGCGGTGTGGGCTTGGGAAGGCAGCGTGGCTGGGAGAGGAGAAGCATAACGCAGCCATGGGCTGTTTTATAGCGGGGTGCTGGGGTCCCCGGGGCGCTGGGGTCCCTGGGGTGCTGACGCCACGTGTCCCTGTCCGCAGGATCCCAGCGGGAACCGCATCGCGCAGTGGCGGGAGGTGAGCCCACGGCAGGGCATCGTGGACCTGTAAATCCCGCTGGCTGCCGAGCCGGCCCTGGGCACGTACACCATCGAGGTGGAGGGGAAGAGACACTCCTTCAGCGTGGAGGAATATGGTACGTGGGGACCGGGAGGTGCACGGGGGGTGGGAGCCCCACCTCGGCGTGTCCCTGTGGGCAGCATGTCTTTGCCCCCCTGACCACCCAGGCACTATTGTCCTTCTCCTGGGAGCGACAACCCTCTCTCCTTTTGCTTCTCCATCAGTGCTGCCCAAATTTGAGATGACCATTGATCTCCCCGCCGTGGTGCTGGAGAAGGACAAGAAGTTCCAGATGGAAATTTGTGGACGGTAAGCCCGAAACAGGCTGCGCCGGGAAGAGGGAGCGGATGGGAGGATCCGACATGATGTGGCCCATCAGGCACACCCTCGCCACCCTCCACCCAACAGGTACACCTATGGGAAGCCCGTCCAGGGGAAGGTCCAGGCCAGCTTGTGCCAGACCTTCACACCCACCAGGATCCTGTACAGATTTCACAGTGACTTCACGAAAGAGAGGAACTGCATCGAGGTTGGCGGGCAGGTGAGCACTGCCGGGGAGTGTGGGTGCCACCGGGACAGCCCCTTCCCGGGACTGCTGCTAACGGGGTTGACTCTGTCCCTCCAGACTGAGAAGAACGGCTGCTTTTCAACAGAGGTTTTGTTGACTGCCTTCAACCTGACCAGCCACAGGTATCAGAAGCAATTCCAAGTCCAGGCATCGCTGGTGGAGGATGGGACAGGTAGGGACGGCGGTGTTCTCCTGCTTGGGAACGGGCATTGCCGCTGGTCCATGGTTTTGCATTCATTCCCATGTGCACCCAAATGCACGTGGCACGGGGGTATTGGTCTTCTCCGGGGAAGGCCAAAAGCAACGCTGTGATTTAGAGGTGCACATGTGCAGGGACCGGGTCGTGGCGGGGATGTGAGCCAGGTCAGCCAGGCAATACTTCTAATTCTGACCAACGAAATGGTCGGGAGGCAAAAACATCTTTCCAAGATCCAACAACTCTCCCAATGCTATCGCTAGCAGCGAGTTGACTCCTTGCGACACAAAGTAGTGGTTTCACCCAGTCCGGTGGTGTGGCTTCATTCTTCGAGATAATCCACCTCGCCCACCACCTTGATCTCACCAGAAATGACTGCCAGTGGCTTGGCTTCAGAAAAAAAGGAGAAGACCAGGGGTTGGCCCAGGCCCACTGGCACCGAGGTGGCCCTGCATCATGGTGCTTTGGTGAAGGACCTTTTGTGAAGTCTCTGCAGCCAGCTGTGCCTTGGCTTTAGGTCTAAAACATGCCATAGAGGTTTTGCTCCTCTTGTAGGAGATGCGAACTGTGCTCGAAGCTGCCGGCTGCAGAGGGAAAGGCTAAAATGTCCAGGGACCTTTTCTGCACCATGACGGGGGAGCTGGCAGCAGCTAACCTGTGCCCTGTGTCCCTGCAACACCCTCAGCTCCCCACTCCCTCTCCACAGGGCTGGAGCTGAACAACACCAAGAGTTGCAAGATTTTACCTGAAACCCTCACCGTCACCTTTGAAAACACCGATGATTTCTACAAGCCCGGCATCCCCTACACTGGGACGGTAATGTGGGGGTCCCCACACCTCGCAGGGCTCCCCTGCACCCTGCTGCGCCCAATCCCGGTCCCACTGACCCCGAACACCACTCTCCCACCCCTGCCCCCTGCCCCACGCCTGCAGCCCAACCTGGGGCATCTCCCCTTCCCTGCCGGCGCAGATGCTGCTGAAGGGAGCCGACGGTGCCGTGCTGCCGCAGAAGCAGCTCTTGCTCATCGTTAGCCAGCAAGAAAAAGATACGAGACAGACCTTCCTGACAGACAGACTGGGGAGAGCCTCCTTCGAGCTGGAGACCTCTGGTTGGAGTGGCACGGTCTCCTTGCATGTAAGTGACCCATCTCCCACTCCTCGGGGGTCCCTGCACTGCTTTCTCCCAGTAGTACGGGGCTGGGCACCTCTCCAAGTCAAGAACCTGCATCAAAGGTGCCCGGTGATGGGACCAGCACCTCCTTGGATGGCTTCACCACCTTGATTTCTACCTCCATCACTCAGGGTCAAGTCAAAGAGGCAGCTCACACCCAGACCGACAGCTCAACACTCAACTACCAAGATGCCTACGCGTACCTCAGCCCCTTCTTTTCCACGAGCGGGAGCTTCCTGCGGATCCGCCGGCTGGAGAGCGAGCTGCCCTGCGGCCAGCCCCAGCAGCTCTGGGTGGATTACATCTTCAGCAAGGAGGCCTTGGGGACTCAGCTGGAGAGCCTGGATGTGGTATTCCTGGTGAGCCCCGGCCCGGGGAGGGAGGGCAGCGGGCATTAGGGTGGTTGTGTGTGAAGGTCCACATCTACACATGTGTTCACGGTTGTGTTCCTGAAGACAAGACAATGAGCAATCTGTCCCGGCTAGACCGAGGCACCTACGCCTGTTAGTAGAGGTGTCTGATGGCACTGTTGGACCTGCATGCCAATGGGAGATATCGGGGGGGCTGGAGACTGGGCAAGGTCAAAAACCATCCTGACTTTCTCGCCCTTGGCTCCATCCTCCATCTGGGCATTTCGGTTCCCCGCTCAGCATCGGTTTCATTGTTCCCATCTCCTCCTCTGTAGGTCCTGGCCAAGGGGACCATTACCTCCATCCTCAGGAAAGAGCTGCCTGCAGAGGCTGGTAGGTCCTGAGGCATGGACGGGCTGTGCAGGGCTCTGCTTTCTGTGCCTGGTCCTCATCTCCCCTCCTTTCCCATGGCCCAGGGCTGAGAGGCTCCTTCTCCCTGGAGCTGCCCATCGGCCCCGAGCTGGCGCCCACGGCCAAGGTGCTGGGCTACGTGGTGCTGCCCAATGGTGAGATGGTGGCTGACAGCACCAAGCTCGAGGTGGCCAAGTGCTTCCCCAACAAGGTGAGCGGAGGCTGCTGGAGATGGGGGAATCGCTCCACGGCTTGTCCATAGCTGCATGCCCTGAGGTCCATCCTGCTCCAGATGTATCGCGGTGTCAGAGTCTCTTTAACCCACTCCCTGATCCCCAAACCCTTCAGCCTGATTTTATCCTTGCCTAGAAGAGACCTCCATGTCTGTGGCTTGGTCCTGCTCCTCCAAGGGAGGTGGCTCCCCCTCCTGCCCTTGTCCCCTGATGCCCCTGTCCCTCCCCAGGTGAAGATGGCTTTTTCGGAGGACAGGGCTCTGCCTGGCTCAGCGCTGCGGCTGGAGCTGGAGGCTGCCCCAGGGTCCCTGTGCGCCGTCCGTGCCGTGGACCGCAGCGTGCTGCTCTTGAAGCCCGAGGCTGAGCTCAACACGGAGGCGGTGAGTGGTGGCACTGCCCAGGGCCCCTTCTGCAGCCCCAGGGACCAGCCGGGGATGGGGGGGAAGAGATGACATTGGCTTGGACCTCCCCTATGGGGATTCGGTGCCATGGTGGCTCCTAGGCAGGGGGTAGGTACCTGGCTGGTTTTGTACCTAGTACACATGTTTATTCCCAGGTCTACAAAGTACTCCCCGAATTCGACTACCCTGGAAGCATTCAGGACCCACAACCCTGTTCAGCATTTTCCTGGGACTATCCCCCCAACTTCGGCATCCCATTTGTACCAAGACAGAGAGACTTCTTTCTCCGTCCAAGGAGGCATCGCTCACCTTTCCTTTTTTGGAGGAATTCCCAGATGGACACCTACAAGTTATTTCAGGTAAAGACCCTGCCCGCCTGTACCTCCTGGTTCCTCTTCATCCAGGAGCTGCCTGTGGTTTGCTCAGGGTGCCGAGAAACCACAGCAACATCCCGGGAAAGCCTCACTTGTGGCAAAGGTCTTCCCCTTTCCCATGGATGCCAGGCTCTGGTCCTTCTCCACTTCTCTTCTTTGGCAGCCCTGCAGAAGCCCTGACTATTTACTGCTGGGATGGGGATATTCATGCTGGGT